ATCCAGCTGGACTGATCAGTGAGAAGCTCTGGAGGAAGGCTAAAGGAGGAATTTATTACTCCAGCACACTCCCCATGGCTCCTAAAGGCTGATCCTAGCTCCCATCAGAAGGTGATTTCTACAGAGCTCAGCCTGCCACTCCCTCTTACCTGCCCTTTGCCAGGGACTCTCACCTATGAACTGGACCACCTTTCATGATCCTTCTACTATTGTCAACAGTCTCTTGGTTAAACTTTACTCCAATTACTATTTTTCCTGTTTGGTATGTCTCCTGCTTCCTGATGAGCTTTAACCCTGAGCCGTCAATAGAAATAGAAAAAAGGAAAGAAGGAATGGAGAGAGGGGGGGAGGGAGGGAAGAAGGGGAGGGGGAGAGAGAAATCTGTGCATTGTGGTGCTCTGGGACATGACTGAGGCAGAGTGAATGACATTTGCTCCTGTTTGTCCTCCGGGCAGTTTCTGTGGGTGGAGTCCAGGGCTATACAGAAGCAGCAGGTAGTTGGAGGAGGTCTCTCCTTGATTGCACTGGAGAACAGAGAGCTTCGCACTGGCCACTTGGCAATTGTCCTCCATGGAGACTCAGGAGGAGGAAGAGGCTATTGGACTTTGTTCAAGATCCTTGCTTTTTCAATGCACATTTGTCACACAAATGGAGCTTTATTGGGCAACGGGTACCAGGGTTTGTTTTTGTTTTTTGTTTTCCATTTTAAATTGTTTAGACCATAGTTTTTCCTTTCTGGATAAATTGGGTGTTCAGGATTTGAACCCAGCAGTGCAGAGACTTATTTGATAATCCTGAAAGGCAAGTGTCCTTCTGGAGTCTCACCTGAGAAAAAGATCTTTCTGTTTCTTTGCTATTGGAATTTAAGATCCGTGAGGTAAATTTTGTTCATTAAAATAAGAACAAAATGAGAGGAAAATACGTTTAATAGGATCTCTGACTGTTGTTAAATTTTAGTAATATTTGGGGAATCATCTTTTAGGCTGTTTATAGAATGGTTTAGCCTAGCTAATTGGGTGTTTAAAGCATTCAGCATTATTTAGGGTCTAATTGGTATAGTTATGAACCAGCAAAAGCAGCAACAAACAAAAAAGTTAATGTTGATCAAGACAGTCAAGAATCCTGGTCTCAGAGGGTATGTATGCTAGCTAACCTGTGGTCGCCGAGCAACTGTCATTGTCCCTACATGAAATGAGAAGCAAATAGAAGAAACTTTATTATATCTTGACTTCACACCCAATGGCTCACATAGGGCTTATCAAATACAGATTTTTGTTATCACTTCAGTGTGGGTGGCCTCAATTTCTCATCTTGCTTCCTTAGCTTTGTATTTCTGCAGCTAAGCACCTTTGTCTTGTGTACAAGAGAAGACAAGTTCCCAGACACACAGCTTACAGTCTTTAGAAAATGCTAGTCACACTCTCTGACCTGCAGTCACAAGGCATCGGGATTCTTTCCCCTCCTTTTCTCTGGGTGAATATTTCATAATTACAAAATCCCCACCCCCACAGAAAAGTATTCAGGCAGGATGGATACTTTGAGGGTTTGTGGAAGAAAAGATGAGCCCCAGGCAGCTTCTGCTAGGAATCTTCCTAGATAGCTTTCTTCATTATCTTCCTAGATAGCTTCCTTCATTATCTTCCTAGATAGCTTCTTTCATTATTTTCCTTTTCACCATTGAAGCATTCTGTTGTGCCTTCAAAAGATGTTTAGGAGCCAAATGTCCTACTCATACTGTATTTTGTGATGGGAGGAAGTCTGAGCACCTGGGAGGAGGGAAGTGTTTAAAGAATGATAAGGGAATGTCTAACTTCCCCAACTTATTGTCCACGCATGCTTCAGCTGTGCATGATGAGCAGGGGTAGGGGTTAGGGGGTAGGGAATGAGATACTCCTATACATTTGGAGTCAAGCCCTCAAAGAAAGCACACTAGGAAAACGGCTGGATTATGTGAGAAGTATCTGTGATTTTTTTTAAGAGCCTTCCAAGATTCCATCATCTTAAAATCACTTGAAACCGCCTTTACAAGGCCATTCTGAAACTTCTAATTTAGGAGGGAGTCACAGTCCAGAGTAAGCCCTGGAGCTCCACTGAACAGTTTAATCTCATAGTTCCAAAATTATCACAATTAAATAAACAACCAACACAATAACTAAACCCTGTGGTCACCACCAGCTGGAAGATTATTCTAAAGAGAGAAATTGTTTTTGTCTATCCCATCCTTTTCTTTCCCCTTTATAAGTTTATTCTCTCTAACTCTATTCACCAACAACTGAACTCAGAAAAAGCTCGTGACTGGTTGGGTGGTTAAGAGCATGCACACTTTAACTTCATCTGGGATTGGGGAGACAGGGGTACAGGAGAAAGATGGGTGGTGACAGTCATCTTTCCTCACTGTCTTGCAGCTTCTATAGGATGGCAAGAAGTTGCCGGTGACAGCCATCTAATGGTGCTGGTAGCAGTAAAGGTGGCCAACAGCTGTTTGTGGCATATATGCTAGTTTCCAAGGAAATGATTTCTCTGTCCCTCTGGGATCAGGCTCCAAGTCCTATACCTATTTTGGAATGAAGTAAAATAATGTCGAAAACTTCCCAGCCCTGCATCCTATCCCTGGTTTAAAACTTCATGTGTATGTATCACAGTATGACAAGGCTGGGCCATTTATTCTTCCACTGGGTGAACAAAAATACCAGTCTATGGATATGAAAGAAAGAGATGCCAAAAGACAAAGGATGGTGATATATAACCTAGTTATAAACATGAGCTTTATATCAGACTTCCGAGGTTGAAGTTCTGGATTTTCACTTACTAGCTATGTGACTATTCTTTAACTATGTAGGTTAATTGAATGTTCTCTGCTTCAGTTTTGTCACTTGAAAAACAAAGAAAAACACTAGTGCTGGCACCATATGTTTATTGTAAGCTATTGATGGGAAGAGCTCAGAAAATTGCCTGACATATAGAAGGTGTTGTGACTACCAGTAAGAATGTGAGTTTCCATTTATAATTATTAATGTAGATTCTAAATTCTAGAACTCACTATTTTAACCATTCGTGCTCTAAGATACTCAAATACCTAGCTTTTATGTAACTATTTCCTCTAAGCTGAAAGATTCCCTCCTGGAGTAAAGGGATCATAAGACTTCAGAAATATAGAAAACCCACAAGCCTCAGGAAGCTTCAGAAACTTACAAGATTCATGAGTCCCGTTTCCAAGGTTATACAAACACTAACGGTTTATATGAAGAGAATGCTCTCTGAGCATGCTGGCAAGCCATACAGGGACCTCTAGGGATGCAGCTTACATGAGCTTTCCCTGCTGCTAAGGTGCTTTTGACAACTTTCCGACTTTGCCCAGTCTCCTCCAGTTACCAGCTCCCATCTTCTTCTCTCTTTCTCTTGCTTTGAAGGGATAACTTTGTTTTTTATTTAAAAACAGAAAAACTAAAAAACAACAACAAAATAACCAGATATGACACTGAAGTCCTTTTACACTGCCGTAATGTCTCTTACATAGTAGCCTGTGTGTATACTAAAGGGCACCCACGTGCTTGTGTGTGTGTGTGTCTGTGTCTGTGTGTGTGTGTGTGTGTGTGTGTTGAAGTGAACGGAGTGTCCTTTATGCTTTTGATGCTTTCCAGGGCTCACTACATCTGTTATTCTAACTTTTTATTTTTTTTATTTTTGATATGCTTTGTAGATAGGTTCCTCTTCACATTCATATCTAGATATAGTTGAGTCTACACACACACACACACACACACACACACACACACACACACACACACACAAACTCTCTCTCTCTTTGTCTTAATTCCATGTCCCTGTTGGCTAACACTCCTGCTAACTCACTCTTCCTATTCACAGCCACACTTGGAAAACTTGTTCACATTTTCTATTTCTGTTTCTTCAAGGACATTTTTCTTGCCCCAGTGTCCTACACATTGTAAACTCTTAAAGACATTTTTTAGTTGTTTCTTTGCTCATTGTTCAGAACATTTTTTTCATGCCCTCCAGCTTTGTCCTCTGATGCTTCTCTTTCTTCTGCTGCTACTGCTTCTCACACAGGCTCCCAATCTTCCTTTTTCTACTTAGTCATTAAGTAGAGGCAATCCTATGGGGTCTTTTCTGGATTGTTTTCATTTCTTCCTCTACATTCAGTGAACAGTGTGCCCTACCATCAGCAACTGGTTGATGGCATTAATAACTAAATCTCCAGTCCAGGGCTTTCCCTTTAGACTATAGCCCATACACCAGTTACCTGCCAGAGGTTGATACTTGGATATCCTTTCTTTTGCACCATGAATTTAGTATTCTGAAGCAAAACAGAATTTTGTGCTAAATCCTAAACCAGATTTGTTCTTTCGAATCATAATTTACTTTCTCCGAGAATGGTACTATCCTTTGCTCAGTCAGTTGAGCAGAACTCAGCAAAGGCTATCTTTAAATGCTAGCTCCTTTATCCCGCATGTCTTACCAGTTACATTTGGTCTTCCTTCATGGCCCAAATGCCTCTTAAATCAGCTTTCTTCCTTCTCACCTGAACCATGCCACTGTCTCATTCTTAGCTCTAACACCATGCTTCACATGCCAACCTCAGGTAAGTACTGAGATGTCATCATGGGACCCTTGATTAAAATTCTTGATGGATTTTCCTCTGCTGTTAGGATTGGTACAAAATCTTCTTGGCACTTCTGCTTGGGGCTTAGGGGTTCTGTCCCCTGGCAGCCTTTGCTGATGCCTCCCCCCATGAACTCTGTCTTTGGGACATCCACACTTCCTGCCTGTGCAGGTACACCTTACCACAGTCAGTTCTGGGTGTTTGTATGTGCTGTCTTCCTGTGGTAGGCCGTCTCCTTTACAGTTTGATTTTTTTCCTGATAATTTTTTTAAATCCTTCAAGTGTCTTACTATTGTACTAAGTGTTTTTTAATGTAGGAACCATTTCTATACAGGAAGTATCCAATAAATATCAGTTGAATAACAAGTAGACAAACAAGTTCACAATGCTGGTGTTTTATTGTTTCTACTGTCACTGATGTCTCGTATCATACCAGGCATCATACCCGCTCCCCCAATTTCATGTCAAAATCCAACTTCTTTACCCACTTTCCACAGCTTACCTAATTTTAAAATTTATTTTCTTAGCCTAGAATTACAGATACCCGTTTGTAGATCAATACAGAAGATGGATGTTATTTGACCCTCATGTTTTAAATTTTGAATCAGTTGCCAGTATTAAAAATCTTACTGTAATCTCCCAGCGTCTCTGCCTGACTTTGACTGGGTGGATCTGAACAGTAGTTGCTCCTTATGAAGTGGGTGCATTCCAGTTATCACCCTCCCTAACCAGGCCCAACACCTCTACGTTTCTTTATGCTGGCTGCAGAACTGGTAGGCAACTCATGTGACACCTGGCAGTATTTGCTCCCCACAAATCCCAGATGTGTGTGTGGAATTCCAAAACATGCACAGCCATGCACAAGATTTCTGTGCCAGAGTGACTCTTGGACAGATAGGCACAGTCTTGAATTCAACACAAATCCCTATTGTCTCTGTTACCACCGTGTCAGAGGTGTGAGGGGTAGCTTCAGAGATGTGCCTTACAGAGGTTTCTCTCCATGGACTGATGATGGAGCCTCTAGCCACACTACTTCAGTTTCCGGCTCCCTCCCAGCCATTCCTTAATATGGGTGATTAGTGCCCCCCCCCCGGGTCTCGCAACCTAACTCCCACAATCACTTTTGTTGAAGCTATCATCCTGGCTTTGACTGGGATCTCACTTTAATCCCAGCACCAGCTCCACTTCCTCCAGTGGTGGTTTAATCTCTCACCGTCTTTGCCCCATCTCAGAACATAAAAAGATGTTTCTATCCCTGTATGTTCAGAAATACTCCAATCATTGCAGAGACTTAATACCAGCGTTGTGCTAGTACATATTTTATTCTTCCCAGGTTAACTCATTGTAGCAAAACAGCAAAAAACAAAACAAAACAAAACAGCAAGAACCCACCAAGATGAAAGCGAGCAATTTTCTAAGTATCCCTCCATGGTGCCTGTCTTGTAGTGTCTTCCCCCTGGACTGCGAGTTTCTCAAGGATGGGGCTTCTTTACATGTTGTTTTTATCATCACTACTTGGCATAGAGTCTAGTATATAATATTTGCTCAATAAATATTGTTTCAATAAATGATACCTTTCAGATCAGTATTCAGGGCCTCTTATTACTTGGGGGAACATAAATTTAGATGCAGTTATTTTTCAAGGACCATTTGTCAAAAGTAGCACACTGTAGACATCTACAGCTCTTCAGACACAGGATGTTCAATTTGTCTCATTCCACATAAGCCTTCCTCCAACACTTGTTAGCAATGACTGCCGATGCCATGACCAAGTAATCACCTCTCTTTACCGGAGTCTAGGCCGGGCTGTTTGCAAAGCTCTAATCCTCACTTGGTCATGCTGGTTTCTGCCATTTATGGTTAATCTGGAAGTACTGAATGAGTACTTCTTATCCTGGTGCTGATAATCTGGACATTCTTTGTTTGCTCTAGCTGGAAGTTCACATCTCTCTGTAACACAAGTGACATGACCAGGTAAATTAAAACAAGGTTTGCATGTGATTTCCCATTAATCATGATTATCAATTCATGAGTTCCTGATAAGCCCCTTCGGTTAAGTCTGATCTTTCACCTCTATGCTTGGGAAGTTGAATTAAGGATAATTGCTTACATTCTGGCACTTGTGACAGCATTTGAGCTGATTAGCTTGTGGAGGACTGATTAGGTGATGACTATCATTGTGGGGAAGTATGCATTATAGCGGGCTATGTAGATGAGCTTGTAGAGATATTATATATGACATGAAACCAAAAGAATGCATTTTTATTCAAATTAGAGACACACGTAGTTGTACTCCATAGGCATCATAGTACGTGACAGTCACTGAATGACTATGTAAATGTAGCTCCTCGTTTTACTTTTTATCGACTGTCCATGATGACTTTCCTCTCTTTGCAAAAGAAAAGGAGGAAGCATAAATAGAAAGTTCTGACAGGTGAGATAAAAATCTACAACAAAGGCCCAAAGGGCTTTCGTGTGTGACCCTGCACAGGCACCCAGTTCCATCCACTGCCAAGCCTTCTGAGCCACTGTTTGACTTGGTAAAGGTCTTAGGGAGACCTTGGGTTGGCACACTTCATGCAGAAGGTCTTGTCTCACCTGCAGGCTGTCCCTCCGGTCTTCCTGTGCTTTCCTTCTTAGTACTTCTGGATTATGCGGTGATCCAGTTTGCTGAGGGATTATCCTCTTGACTTGTTCATCATCGGTGATTTAATCATTGCTGCTTCTGGAAGCCTCCATGTGCATATCCTATCTGGTTTCTGCTTGTTGCAATTACCTGATGCAACCGAGGCTTCTTATTTTCCCAGAGAGTGTCATGTGTCAGCAGTAGCCACCCTGAAGAGCAATACAGTAAACAGGGATGCTCCCAGCCCCAGCTCCTTCTGACAAACCTTTCGTTTGGCTCTGTGTTTTAAAATGTTGCACCTTCTTTCTAATCTTTAATTAACATTTGTGTGTGTGTGTATTCATGTGTGAGTATGGGTACTCATGTATCCTTGGATGTGCCTGGAGGTCAGAGGGCAGCCTGGGGTGTTGGTCCCCACCTCCCCCTTTGTTTGAGATCAGGTCACTTGTTTGCCACAGGGTGTATCAAGACATCTGGATGGAGGGCTTTTGGGTGTTTTCCTGTCTCAACCTCCTATCTCACTGCAGAACCATGGGATTGCAGACCTGTATACCACATCCTCTCTTTAGGGAAGTTCTGGGGATGTGAATTCAGGCCCTCAGGCTTGTGTGGAAGACACTTCACCCACTGAACCATGTCCCCAGTCCCAGACACTTATTTCTTAAGTTGTTTTTGGTAAGAATATACATTTTATAATTTGTACCCTTTCTTTTCATTTTCTTAGCTAATTGAAAACATTCTAAACACATGCAGCTTAACAAAAAAACATTTAGGAGACAGATATTGAATGAGTTATCACATATGCTCTTATTTGATTTTTCTACAGCAGTTTACGACTACATCTAGAGGTACATGGCTAACCCTCTATAGGTTTAGATTTAATCCATTTGTTTAACACATAGTAGGGTGTGTAATGTGATTCAATGCTCTTAGGACCTTAGCTTTTCCATTTGTGCAATGACGATGAAGTTTACTGCGTGGCAGGATGGGGAATGTCTTTCAGGGGTAGTGGTGGGGTCAGGTTGCAGCATACGTGTGGGGGAAACACCAGTGTGGTCTTCTCTCTCATGTGGTGTGGTGTGTATGGTGTGGTGTACCTCCTTCATGAATGGAGTCTGCCAAGTGACTACAGGGACACCCAGAAGTGGACAAAGGACCAGAGAACACACAGCTATCGTTGAAAGTATGAAGCAGAAGTTGAACAGTGCTGCGCTGACAGAGACTCGGCCTTTGCCTTGTGTGATAAGACATGCACCTGAGGCCTAGCTGCTTGCCCATCAGGAACTCACTCATGTGAGGGAGGAAGCAGGATGTGAGAAGGACAGGAGGTGGTATCCTCCATGCTTGCCTCTGACTTGGGAGGAAACGGATAAAAGGGGAATGAGATGGAGGTGCTGGCTTGTCGTTTCCTACAGCTGCCATGTGTGCGGGAGCATGTGACAAGACAAGAGGATATAAACTAGGTCTGTGCTAAAAACTCGTCCCTGGAACCCAGAAGTATAAAACCCATGGAAGAAGTGGAGAGTGAAGAGGAAGAAAATGAGGCGGGAGAGGCCTTCCGGGATCTGCATGAGCTAGGCTGGCATGTAAATTGGGTTTTTTAAGTGCTAAAGCAATCAAGCAGAGGTGAGAAAGAGTCAAGGCACACAAAAAGCCTGTCAGGGTCACTTGAAAGCAAATGTGACAAGACTCCCGTCAAGTCAGAGCTCCTAGGGAAAAGAATGGACGAGAATCCAAATGCCGCACTGTGAACTTGTAGGCTTTCAAACCTGAGCAAACCCGCACTACAGGCACGACTGGAGGTGCAGGTGAGCTCTACCCTGCTGCCTGCACTAGAAGATGTGTGGAAGAGAACTATCCCAGCTGCTCCCCTAATGCAATAATCAAGGTCACCTGTAGGTGAGTGTGTGGCACACTCAGGCTTTGGGGAAGCTGGCACCAAACACACACTAATTCGTAGCAACCCTACAAAGCACCTGGGACAATGCCAGCAATGGGTGGATGTGGAGACAGAGAGCGCAGGCAAAGATTAATCTTGCTCTTGGAGTGAGCAATTACCTCCCTGGAGAGCATGCTGTGTGCACTTCTCCCCTACAAGAAAATACGATGAGGTACATGTACTGCTGGGACACACTGGGAAGATTTTACCTGAAGGTACAAGTGCAGTAGCAGCCACGGGTGGCTGGGCAAACAGTGGCCTATATAGCCGAGAGATTCTGCACCCAGACCGAAGCTATTTCCATAGCCAGGTGTGTTGGTGGCGCGTACAATGGCTCATGGAGAATGACTGTGGACTAGAGAGGGCTTGGAGAGATGGTATCACCTCTCTGTGCCACCCTGTGTTCTTCTGACAAGTGATGGAACCCGATAACTGGGCATAATGTCACATTCCTGTAATCCCAGCACTTTGGAGATAGATGCCCGAGGCTCAGAAGTTCAAGAACAGCTTCAGCTATGTAGCTACTTCAAAAAAGAATAAAACCACACACACACAACACACACATACATACACACAACACATACACACACACACACACACACACTTAGGTGGTTGGATCTTTTCATTCTTTATTGGATATCGTTAGTATTTTTGTTCATATTTATTTGTTTGTTTTTGTTATTGTTTGTTTAGTTATTTGTTTTGGATCCCCTTTTGCTGAGTCTCCAGATCAATTCATTCTTGCTTGGGATAGGCAACAGTGGGTCTTCAGAGCACTTCAGCAAGTCACCTTTGCAATGTTATTATTTGTCATGAAAAGGTGGCCTAACACCTTTTTTGTTATCCTGCCTACCTTCTGTAAAAAAAAAAAAAAAAAGAAAGGAAGGAAGGAAAGAAGGAAGGAAGAAATGAAAAAGAAAAAAGCATTTTTCATTACAAGGAAAGCATAATGCTAATCTCTGAGTGTTTTAGAGATTTGTGGAAAAGCATCTGGAAGGATAAAAAAAGCAACAATTGGAACGTTTAACACAGATACCTGTGTGAGTGAAAGGGGGTATTCCCAGAGCCATACAGTGGTTGGATGAAAATCTCAATGCTGGGCTGGGCTATCTACCCATAAGGTATTGCCAGGAAGGCTCCTGCGTGTCCACTCCTGATATATAGGCTACTGCCACTGCTATTGATTGCAAACCACAATGAGATGGCAAGGTCCTATTAGTGAAGACATTGCATGCTGTTGTTGCAAAGCACAGAGAAACCAAGTTGAGACCATTAGCGTTTGTGATGCTGAACGCTCGCTCGGGGAGAACTGTTGCCAGTGCTCCTGATCTGCTGCACACTCTGACGGTGATGCCATCAGCATGGTGGGCAACATGCAACATGCACATACTGGTGAGCTAGCGGCAACCAGCTAGTTTCCATGTGGTTTTACAGCTTGTTCCACAGGAGGAAACCCGTGTTCAGAACTGTAAACTGCTACAGAAACTTGTTATCTGAGGCGATCATGGAAACTAACAGGAAAGCTACTGCTGTTGTTTACTATGTAGATATGATATGCTTGTCAAATGGCTTTCTAAATGTCTTTGGTTTTCCTCGCTGATGACTATTGTCAGCTGTAACGAAGGAAACTTCATTTTAGAGCAGGTGGAAGTTACTGCACCGACTTCATAACTGCTTGAATCTTGGGAATAAGTGTCCTCAGCCTAATACTCAGTTATAAATGGAAGAAAATTACTGCATGGAACATGGTAGAAGGCGGGAGTGGGGGCAAGAGAGAGAGGAAGAGGTGAAGCTCATTGCAACCATTGCCTCTGTCTGGCCAGGGTCCTGGCCGTCTTGAAGCAGAGCAGCTGTGATGATTCACTCACAAGATTCACAAGACTTGACTAATAACTTCCCTTGAGGAAGGACAGAGGTGCTCAAGGTTCACAAAGCTCTCAAGAACCCCATGAGGCTTTCCTTCTCCACAGAATTTCTATAAGACACTTGACTTGGGAAATGGACTCTTTGACGGTACAGATTTTTAGGAGTTGGCCAAGCTAGGGATAGAATCTTCCAATAGTATAGTTTCCTTAGAGTCACCCATGCTCCTGCAAGTGATCCTAAGAAAGTTGGGAGGCCAAGCTGGATGCAGACAGAATCTGTTTTTGTTCCTTTCCTTTCCTAACAGTGTCCTCTCTACCCGCAGTGAGTATCTGTTTCTTTATGTTTCCCCAGGAAAAGCCACACCACAGCCTTTTGCTAACTATGTAATTGGTAAAGTTACTTGATCTTTCTTGTAACATGAGGTTAAAATACCTGTCGTTGTTACTGTGGAATTGGATTGAAAAGTGCCTTGTAACATTAAAGTAGAAAGGGATGAACAGGAGAAAATGAGGAGGTGAGGGGGAGGGGAAGAAAGCTTATGAATGAGGGGAATAAGAGTGGTGGTCAAATGATGGAACACACGTGTATGAAAATGTCAACATAAAAACATAATGTTCTATAATAATATATACTAATTAAAAAGATAATCTCTGGAGCTGCAGAGATGGCTCAATGGTTAGAGTACTTATTCTTCCTGAGGATCTAGATTTGGTTCCTAGCATCCACATGGCAGCTTACAACCATCTGTTGCCATCTTCTGACCTCCACAGACACCAGACACACACATGGTACACATACGTGCATGCAGGCAAAATACTTGTTCACATAGAATAAAGGTTTTGAAAAATCAAAAGAGTAATCCGGTATAATTTATAACTGAATCTAAATACTAACCCTTATGCCCACAAAGAAGTCTAGCTCTCTCTCTTAATCAAAGAATCTTCTATTTTACAGTGGATGGTGACCACTACAGAAATCACAACTAGTCAAAATGCAGAAAAAACAACTAACTGTGGGGTGCCTAGCACCAGTTGTTACATCTACAACATAACTCCTACACTTAAGGCCCAGGAGGTATCTCAGAAGAGGGGGGCTAACCCATTGTAAGAGCCAGAATACCAGGACGTCTTTAGTGATATAATGTCTTCTACACACGGCACAAATCTGCATCCATGAAATCTCAACAATATGGTTACCCAAACAAGACTTGATGACAATACCAGTTGGCATGCCATATGGATGGGGGAAAGTCTCACAAGGCCCTCTCCCCTAGATAAGAGCCACAGATAATGAACAGTCCTGGAAAAAGGGGGGAATCAATCTTCTCCATGGAAGAGACCCCCACAGGTTATCAAACCCCAGGTAGTCGGCCACAAACACACACACATGAACGATGGGAAATGGACGCAGCAGGCTATTTGTATGTAACAAGAGTAATTGAAGAAGAGATCATGAATTTGGGAAGGAGTTGTGGGGGTGTGAGGGGATTTGGTAGGGAAAGAGGAGGGTGGAAGTTACATAAGTCAAACATTCATGTTTGAAATTCTCAAAAATTATTTTAAAAAATGAAGTAGCAAAGCAGACAAATTTGTTTTTCAAAAGTGCCTTGAGAAGTCCTGGTACATGCTGGGTACTTAAACACTACAGCTACTGCTGTGATTAGGGAAAGAGGAGGATATTAGTGTCATAGTTTAACCCAGGATATGAAAGGAGACAAGTAGATGACAGTTGGTAAGATGTAATGGCAATTTGCTTTGAAATTGTCGACATAAATAAATGTACAAACCTTTGATTCTGTGTTTTCCAGCAACTTCAATTAATCGTTGTTTCACTTCTGAAAGGCTTTCCTCAACTTTAGGATTTTGCACAAGTGAAAAAATGCTTAGCATAAAATTCAAAGTAAATGAAAGCAATATTGAATGCAAATGTTTGCTTCTCAGCACATTCCAGTCATAACTAACATATGTCCTTGCTTGTAATCAAACTTTTCCCCTTGATATGCCATCTATTTTATGAGAATTCAGATTAAAATCCTGATTGCAACATAGACCTTGGTCAGAATTGTAAAATTCTAGAAATTGAAACTTGTCAGTTTTCCCCTTTAGTATGATATTTAATCAAGCACCCAAGGCCTATCTTCAAGGTACTATCTACTGTGTGGGCTATCCATCATCACAGCGTCACTCCCCCTATCTTTATCTCCTCCTCCCAGGGTCTAGGAAATTTATCTATTATAGCCTGTTTAACTGTACCCATTTCCTTTGAGTAGTGCTAAGCAGACTCTTTCTACCTCTTTCTCAGTGTAGATGATACATTAGTCAGCTATGAGCATGGTGACACTTTCCAACAAACTGTTTTTAAACTTCAACAGTGCACAATAAAAACTGTTACCTTTATACTTACCAGTCTGTCAGGGAGATGCAGTTGGTGTAGGTAATGCTCCGGTGTAGGCTGCCTCTCTATTGGGTCAGCATAGTTTCGTGTGTCAACTGTACCCCTGCTTTCATCTTCCTTGGACTGGTGACTACCCAAGTCGTGTTCTTACACTGAAAGTTAGTATACAAATCAAACCACACAAGCATATGTAAAGCCTCTGCTCTCAAACATGTTCTAAATCTCTACATACCAAATCCAGGCCACATAGTCAAGGCCAATATCAGTGGGCTCTCTGGGAGAGCATTGCAAAGTCACATTGCAAAAGGGATTAGGTATTAGGCTAAACAACATAGAATTGACAGTATTTGACCACTTATTTTTACAAAACTCAAAGTACCAATTTTATATATTCTGATCTTATTATACTTTGTTGCTCAAGGAAATGAAGAATTAGAATGAATAATATGACCTACTGTAGATATCAAGTGACTTCTGATTAGCACATTGTCTTTCATGGCTGACACATTTACTCATTAATTAAATAAAAACCTCCACACCTGCAAGTAGGTTATAGTATAGATACTATACTGTATCATAGTATATAGTTACTTATAATATCATCTATACAATTATTATAATATATAGGTATAAATAGATCTATAATATGCTGTAGTATAGTTAGAGTACATGAAAACTTTTTTGACTCTTTAATTTTTTTAAATATAGAATTTAGTATAGTCACAGAGTTATGTAGTCAAGGCAATCAATTTCAGAACAATTTTATCACCCCCAAAACAAATCCTCTATCTGTCTGTATTCATGCAACATTTCTTCTTCCCCCAGCACCCTGGCCCACCAATCTCTTTCTGTCTCTATGGACTCGCCTATTCTGGCATTCATAGAAACAGAATCACATAACAAGGGGTCTTTGGGGGCAGATTTATTTTGCATAGCATGTTTTTAAGGCACATTGATTTTGTTACATGGTACATTTTAACTTATTTTTTCTGGTCAAATAGTAACCCATGGCATGGATACAGAGCACACTGATTAATCTTCTATTATCTCATGGGCTTTTGTGTAGATTCCAGTCTTTGGCTACTACAAAGCATGCTACAAACTTGTTTACGTTTTTGTGTTTTGTAGGTATTTGACTAGTGGAATTGCTGGGTTATGTGTTATCCACATGAGTCAGAATGAATTTGCCATTGTATGCTCCCAACAATCTATGACTGGTCCAGTTGCCCTATTTTAAAAAAAACAATATTGGTTACTGTTTGTCTTCTTTCTTTCTATTTCCCCAATGATGCTGTTGAGATGTGTATGTGGTGTATGTGGTGTGTGTGTGTGTGTGTGTGTGTGTGTGTGTTGTGCTCCTGTTAGTGTGTGTGACTACACATCTACGGATATGCGTATGGAGGCTCAACATTGATGGCAAATGTCTTTCCTTGATTGCGCTCTGCCATTATGCTTTGAGAAAATCTCTTGCTGAACTGGAGCCTCACCGATTTGGCTAGGTTGGCTGGCTAATGAGCTTCAGGAATCCATGCACCCCCAGTGCTGTGGTTGTTAAACATGGGTTCTGGAGACATAAGACAAGCCCTTGTGTTTGCCCTGAAATATACCGTCTCCCAGACTCTCATGTGGTTTTCTTTGTTATGTGCTTTTCTTTTCTTCCTTCCTTCTCTCCTTTCCTTTTCTTGATGAATGTGTTTATTTGTATTTTATCTGTATGGCTGTTTTGCCTGCATGTATGCATGAGGAGCAAATGTGATCTTGGCGTCCATGGAGACCAGAAGAAGGCATCAGATCACCTGGGGCTGGAGTTGCCTGATGCTTGTGAGCTGCCATGTCAATGTTGGGAATCAAATTGGGATCCTGGAAGAGCAGTCAGTGGTCTTAATAGCTGAGCCATCCCTCCCTCCCTCCGTCCCTGTCCTCCCACTTCCTTTGTGACCAGGTCTGCAATTTTTGGTTGCTCTTGAATTCACTACATAGCCAATGATGACCTTGAGCTAATGATTCGTGTGCCTCTGCTTCCTAAGTGCTGGTGCTGCTGGGATTGATCCCAGGGCCTTGTGCACACCAGGCAAGCACTCTACCAACTGAGCTACATGCCCAGTTCTTATGTTGTCATATCTCAGAAGCCATTGCCTATCCAAGGTTATGAACACTTTCATCTGGTTTTCTTCTAAGAGGTTTATAGCTCTGAGCATTTTAGCACTTACATGTGGGCCTATGATATATTCTAGGTTAGTTTTGACATAAGGTATGGACTTCATTTCTTTGTGTGTGAATAATCAGCTTTCCAACTACTTTTCATTGAAAAGACAATTCACACAAAATTGTCTTGGCACACTTAGCAAAAAAATAAGTTTATTTTTGAATTTTCAATTGTATTACATTGGCTGATTTGCTTATCTTTATGTGAATGTCACACTATTTTGAAGAATGTAGCCTTATGTCAAGTTTGAAAGAGAAATGTTTGTCTTCCAACCTTTTTCTTTTCTGCCACGGTTGTTTGCTTATTCCGGGCCCCTTTCATTTCTATTTTTTTGTTATTGTGTTTGCTTGCCAATTGTAGCTAAAAAGAACAGAAAGAAAACCCCAAATCTCAGCTGGGATTTATAATAGGGACAGTATAGAATCTAAAGATTACTTTGGGGATCACTGACAGTCTATGAACACTATGTCTTCTAATTCACCAACATGGCTACATTTCTGTGTAGTTACATCTTATTGTGGTTTTAGGAGATGGTCTGGTACTGTCCTTGTTAGCTGTAATCCTTCATGTTTTATTCTTTATTATAAATGAGCCTGTTTTCTGATCAGTTTTGGGTGTTCATTACTATTGTAAAAAAAAGTATCATTTTCCTGAACTTTGCCGAACTCATTTATTGAACCCACAATTTTGTATGTACAACTTAAGATTGGATATGTTTAAGATGGTATATGGGAAGCTATCTTTCACCTTCCTGGCTAGTCTGAGTTTTTGACTAATTGCCCCTACTAACACTTTCAAAACAACGATGACAAGAAGCAGCAAGAGTGGCATACGTTTGTCTTCCTTTGTGTTTTAAATCAAATACAAGGTTAGATTTGAGATGGATGCTTTTTACAAGTTATAGAAGTGCTAGTCCATTTCTACTGCTAGAGGGTTTTGATCATGGAGGGTGGGATTAAAGGTTCAGCACACCTATCTACTGGGACATACAAGAGTCTGTGAGGAAGAGAGCTACTCCCCCTTTAATCTCTGCTTGGGGTAGCTTCGTGCTCCTCTGCAGCTTTCATATTCATTGTAGCTAACATTTACCATTCTGAAGGATGCTCTTAACATTGTTTTATAAATCTTGAGAAAATATTCAGGTTAAGAAGAATACACGAAGATTGAAAATTTCAATTACTGAAAAGTTAGCCTCTTTCTGGCAAGCTCTGCCAATAGTTCTTTCCACCAAAAGTCCTTGACCTGAAATATTGGCTATTCTGTAATTTTCCAGGCTAATTAATTTTCTTCAAATCTAATAGCAACTGAAAACTCTTATAATGAGTTGATTTGTCCAAATACTTGCATCTGTTCTTTCATACATATGAAACAAGAAAAGAATAGGAAAAAAAATCTTAAAAAGATAATTAAAGAAAACAACAAAAATCCATATATTGTACATTTCATTTTTACCTGAATTGCAGTTGTGAGCTAACGAAAAATCCCATGAATCTTCTGTCCTTTGTCCTTTGCTTTTTGTATTCTAACTCAGTATTTACTTTCTGGTGTCCTGGCATTTTGTTGCTCCTGATGATGATGTTTTGATGTGGTATGTGTGTGTGTGTGTGTGTGTGTGTGTGTGTGTGTGTGTATCTATCTGTTCTGGGTTCAAATAAGTATAAGTATCTACTTCATGGACCAAATTTGTCTTCCAACCCCTAATGTCTGTAACAGAAAATGTGTCCTCTATAATTGCAACACACACAATAATAGTAAATAAATGCCATAGTGATACAGTTTTTGCTTTATGGGTGGTAAACACCTTTTTAAACTCCAATTATTGCTATGGATTTCTTCCCTAGATACATGCACATAAGCCTAGGTAAATACAATGTAAACACAGAGAATTTTCAAAAATCTGATGTCCTGAGTCTATACAAATATTTAATTAAGCAATGCATTTGAAAAATTGAAAAGATGTAGGAACTAACATAACCTTTCATATTTCTCCTGTCATGTTTTTGTTGGGTTTAGCTTCCTGTGGCCCATATTATCACACTAGACAACCCCATGCTTGAGAGACTTCAGCCTTGGTGGGCAAATTTTAGAAAGAGTTCTGTCTCCTGGCACAGCAGACAAGCAGTTAAGGCTCCGGCAGATTGGAGAGGAAAAGAGCGAGACAGAAAGAGAAACAATATTTCATTTGCTCAGGATCTCTCTTTTATTGAATTCTTTGTCCCCTTTGTTCCCTCCTCTCCCAGCTTTTACTATTGTCTCAAGGATGGGAAAACACAATTTGGGGGAAGGAGGAGGCTAATTTTTCAGAGAGGCTCTTCAAAATGCCATTGACATGACAGATGGATTTGGAGGTTCACACAATCACTTTTTCCTTAATCATGCTGGCTACCACACAGTGCATGGACACAATTGAAAGTGAAGCTTCATCCAGGAGAAATGTTTGCAGAGTGCCTTATCTATTCACCAGCTAGAGAAAGTACAGAGGCTTTGCTGAACTGTGCAGCCCTGAAATGCTATAGTGCTCTCTCTCTCTCTCTCTCTCTCTCTCTCTCTCTCTCTCTCTCTCTCTCTCTCTCTCTCTCTCTCTCTCTCTCTCTCTCTGTCTCTCTCTCTCTCCCTCCCTCCCTCTTTCTCTCTGTCTCTCTCCTTCCCTTCCTTCCTTCCTTTCCCTCACCCCCTCTCTCACATGAGTAGAGTACACACACACACACACACACACACACACACACACACACACACTTTTAGTCAAGCAATTGTCTTATAAAGATTCTTTCTAAAGGAAAACACATCTTTATCTGAAATAAGAAAAGAAGCCTCGTGCCATCCATCAATCTCTGAAGCTGGCATTCAGCTCACAGATAGACTCCTCTCCTTTAATTTTTAAATCACCTTATCAATCAAAGGGCTGCGTTGTTCTCAGCCTCTTTTCAGTTATTCTGGGTT